CCGTGCTGTGGCTGCTGGCCCTGTTGGGCTGGGGCTCCGGCGGCAAGGTGTTGGTGTGGCCGGCTGACAACAGCCACTGGCTGAACATGGAGAAAATACTACAGGAGCTCGTGGCCCGGGGCCATGAGGTGACCGTGCTGCTGCCTTCGTGCTTCCTCATCCTCAACCCCACAGAGCCCTCACCCTTCCGGTTTGAGGTGATTGAGGTGCCGATCACCAAAAAGGAGATGGCTGCCTTAATCGATGAAACTTTCTACTTTCTTTCTTATGAGGTGAGAAAGCTACCTCTCTGGGAAACTGTTTACAAGATAGCTCAAATGATAAAACAGATGAATACCGTGACCAAAACAATTTGTGATGGAGTTGTGAAGAATGAGRCCCTGATGGAGAGACTGAGGGCATCCGCCTTYGATGTCCTTTTGGGAGACCCACTGGTACCCAGTGGGGAGCTGGTTGCTGAGAAGCTGGGGATCCCCTTTGTTTATACCTTCCGGTTCTCCATGGGCAACACGGTGGAGCGGATCTGTGGAACACTCCCAGCACCTCCTTCCTATGTACCAGCCACGCTAAGCACTCTAACAGATAGGATGACCTTCTGGGAAAGGCTAAAAAATGCTCTCAGCTACACTGTACAGGATTTCGTATATCATTATTTTCTTTCTGGAAGCTGGAATCAATACTACAGTGAAGTTTTAGGTAAGGCTGMTCTCTTTCCAGAAATTACATCTGCTGTACACACGAGAATAAATAACCAAAGCTGAGACTCWGGTTGAGGCACAAATTAGTAGCAAGACAGCTCCAAATTCATTAYCGTTCCTTCAAAATTCCTGCATCAAGCCAAACAATCCAGGCAAGTACCTTGCCTGTTCATCCTGACCTGCTACAYTGGCACAGSTAAGTGTGTACARGTATTTTGAGGATATGTAGAACAGTGCTAAAGCCACTTGAAGCAGCTCATTAGTCATATGCATAGATTTATCATGGCAAATATTAAGAACAGTAAAAAACAACCAAACACTGACACTTTTTTCCCCTAGCACCTTCTTGCTTGCTCCCTTGCTCAAGATGACAGATATTRACCTCCCCCAGTCCTTTAAAAGTCTGGGAGATCAGACGAGCCCCAATTCACAGTGATAAAAGGCCCTCCACTCTGCTTTTCTGAAAGCGTCTAAAATACTATTTGAGAATAGTTATATTTATAAGATAATTTTTTTTAAAAATAATGGTTTTATAATTATTTTCCCAATTTTTGCTCTAGGCGAGTAATGCTTGAAAGGAATCAGGCCAAACGTATATGCATTGCAGTTGGGCAGATAAAATGGAGATTATTTTCATATGAGSKTCTAAAGTGTTTTTATTTCTRTTTCACTAGTAAGGTRTAATTCTGCTGACAGAACAAAGCTGTTAAGGTATCTTACTACTGGAGTACCTAGCTGTGTGTTTGTGTTGCTTATCATGTTATGATGACAGAGACGAGAAAAGCTTGTGCTGGCTGAAGGATGCTTTGGTGTCTGTTGTGTAAGCCGCAGAGCAGTTTGGATCTTGTGGTGTCTTTTTTTGTTGTTAACTGTGTGGGGTTTAACATTTAAGGCTCCAGGTGCGATACCTGTTTTTTTTTAGCTTGCATGGGCTGCATGAGGATTTGTGCTGGAAACAGTGTTGATAACACATGGATATTTTAATTACTGCTGAGCAGTTTCAAGGCTTTTTCTGCCTCTCA